TTAAATAAAGGATTGATTGATTGATTGATTGATTGATTGATGTCGATTTTCTGGAGATTGGTGGTTATGTCGCCAAAGAGTCAGTCAATAATGTGGCCATAGGAGAAAATCTTTCTCATGAGCAAAGAGCAGAGTTCATGGATCTTGCGAATCAATTTCAAAGTTTGTTTACAGAAGCCCCAGGCACACCTAGTCTGGCTCAGCATCATATTAAGCTTACATCTGACCAACCAGTTAGATCAGTACCGTATAGCTTGAGAGAATCACTGAAGAAGGGTGTTACGAATCTGATGAAGATGGGAGTCATAAGAGAATCAAGTTCGCCCTACGCGTCGCCTGTCGTGGTTGTTAAGAAAAAAGACAACACAAATTGGATTTGCGTGGACTATCGAAAGTTGAACAAGTTATCCGTGTTTGACCCTGAACCTATGCCGACTGCCGAGCATTTGTTCCAGAAGTTGAGTGGTGACAAATATTTTACCAGAATTGATTTGAGCAAGGGCTACTAGCAAATTCCTATGCCCGAGGAGGATATACCGAAGACTGCTTTTGTGACACCCGATGGATCGTATGAATTCCTGAAGATGCCTTCTGGTATGATCAACTCGGCAGCAACCTTAAAGAGAGCCATGAAGAAGCTACTGCATAGACTGGACAATTTCGAATTTTTACTGGGACGACATTCTGGTTCACACCCGTAAATGGGAAGAACACATTAAAGCGCTTCGAGAGTTGTTTACACGATTATTAGAAGCTGGAATGACAATAAGACCGACCAAATGTATTTTTGGAGTTAACACTATCAATTTTCTTGGTCATCGTTTGGAGGAAGGGTTAATTGGTCTTCACGAAGACAACGTAAGAAAGATTAGAGATGCTCCAAGACCAACTAGGAAGAATCAGATAAGATCGTTCATGGGTTTAGCCGGATACTACCGAGATTTTATCCCCAACTTCGCAGCATTAGTAGCCCCGCTGTCAGACCTCACGCGTAAAGGCCAACCTAACAAAGTTGTACGGGGCGAGGCACAAGAGAAAGCCTATCTGAATATCAAGTCCTTCCTTACCAGGGAACCAATCCTGCGGTTACCAGATCCTGGGAGAACCTAGTTTTTGAGGACTGACGCTTCAGACGGTGGCATTGGTGCTGTTTTAATGCAAGAACATGATGGCAAAGTATTCCCCGTTTGCTATGGAAGTAAGAAATTGTCAAGTGCGGAGAAAAGTTATTCAACCATCGAAAAGGAGTGTTTAGCCGTTGTGTGGGAATCAGAAGGTTCCACCTCTATTGCATGGAGTTTCCTTTGTATTACAAACCGATCACGAGCCACTGAGGTACATGAAGAGTGCGAATTTTGCTAATGCTCGTTTAATGCGTTGGGCTATGTTCCTTCAGAGTGATAACTTCAGAGTAGAGGCTATTAAAGGATAGGTTCAACTCAATCAAATGGTACAATGGACTCTGATAAATTGGTTAATGCACAGCACACGGGCAATTTTGTCAAGAGAAGCCAGAGGCTCACCTGGTTTTTCCTTCACCACCTCTGTGGGTAATATACTTTGCAGGATTACATACTTTTGCAAACTAGACCGACTACACGCTCTACATGGATTCTTACATTCGCAAGTTTTCTTGTTTCTTCCACCTCCTGTGCAGACAATTGCCTTTGATACCCTTAGTGAAGGCTGGTATATAAAGTTTAGCCTGGTAATATCCAACACTGTCTGCAATGTCAAAACCCCTATCAGCTAAAACAATGTCCCTTAGTCGCAACTTTCTTAGCACACCACTGTTCTCAGTAACGTGTTTGTCACTCACCCTTCCCCCCATGCCTTAAATATAAAGGATATGACTCCTAGAGGGGTGATTCCAATTAGGAATTTAACTGTGTTGTGGTGTGTATAATTTGACCAAGTCATTGCTCGAGCAATCAAGCTTGATGGCCTCTCCATATATACAAAGCAGTCAATTATTACCGCTACTTTATTCCCAAAGTTCTGTTTGAAGACTAATGGCATTGTTTTCATTACCTCTTCTCTCTGTGGACAGAGTATCAGAAATTGCAAGCGTGTACTCAGGACATTAATCCACCTATCAGATACCGTTGAAACAGAAATCCCAGATCGGTATGCTAGGTCTTGAAACGGACAGTTCAACTTAATCTTCATTAACGTGATAATAACTCTAGAAACTGCGGGATAGCATTTGTAGATGTATGCTCTTAGCAACTAAATTAAAGACATAAGTTAACAAAACAAAATTGGCAATACTAGTGTAAAACTTGGTTTTATCACTGTTATCACGAAGTGCCTGTTCAAAACTCTGAACATTCACCACTTGCAACCTCAACTGGTTGAGTTCCAAAGTACAGTGCTGCAAAAATTGTGCCTGCTCCTTCATATCCTCCATTGTGAGGGTTGTCTGGCTTTCTGCATCGCAATTCTTTACTTTGGAATGGCAGCCTTTCTCATTGTCTTTGTCAGGAAGTGGATCTGTTGAGTTTTATAGAATTGCTTAAACTACTGACAGTTCCTAGATCTCTTTAAAGTTTGAAATATATAAATATATATTCTTTGTTGAATCTAATTCCTCTTTAAGTTTTCAAACAGGCAAGAGTTACAAGATACGATCGAAACTTTCCTGTGATTCTAAGAACATCATTTATTTGGCTTCGTGCAAGAAATGTCGCCTTCAATACATTGGTTTCACAACAAATGACTTTAGAGTTAGATTTCGCAACAATAAGTCTGCTATGGTCACTAAGAAAAAGACCTGTGAAGTAGTGGTTCATTTTAACAAAACACCCCATGATTTAAGCGATTTCTCATTCCAATGCATTGATCAAGTGCAGGCGACCGTAAACAATTCAGGTAACATCGAGAAACTTTTAATTACCAAAGAAGCATATTGGAGCGCACAGTTGTTCTCTCTGGTACCTTTCGGCTTGAATAAGCGCCAGGAATTTCACTCCAAAAAAGGAATAAACTATAATTAACGTGGAGAATTTTTTCAAGTTGGGCGGGCATCAAAGGTCCCGGTCTCAGCTTTGATTGGGAATTTTGGTACAATTCTCGCCTAAGGCCCGGTTCAAACATCGAATTTCACATGTGCCGAACTTAACGCGAGAGTTAAGGAGGCACATGTGAACGGAGGCAGTGTGGCCGAGCGGTTAGAGTGTCGGACTTGTAATCCGCCGCTCCCGGGTTCGAGTCCCACCCTGACCACTTGATCTGTTTCACGGTAGCCCCGAATTCAGATCCTTGGCCAAACTGGTTTGGTAAATAGCCAATTGGTAAATAGCCAACTGGTTTGCCTCCGGCCGGTTGGGGTTCTTAATGATGTTATGTTCAATTTAGACCATTTGTTTCATTTGTTTGCAAGGACCACAATGGAAACTACTGGTTCACCAGTAATTGTGTAATCCTATAAAACGAGCTTTCTTTTTTTTTTTTTTAAATGCATGTGAAGTGCGACGTTTGAATCAATGAAATTTGACTGTTTTAAATTATTGCGACTTTTGCCGTATCTTCGACTGAAACAGTCGAAGATGCTTAGGTTCGACTTTTGATTCAAACGTCGCATCTCACATGTGCCGAACTTAATGCATGAATTTACAGAAAATTATTATAACTCATTTATTACCCTCAAATCGCCAGGAATTCTGGAAATGCCATGCGAGAAAAAGCCAAAACAGCACAAAAAATGATCGGAGACGAAGGAATTTGTAGTTCTTGCTTTGAAAAGACAAAATACAGTTGTTTGACGTGCGGTAATTACTTTTGTATGAGGTGTTCGGTTTTTGAAAACGAAGAGGGCACCCCTAGGTGGAAAGTAGGAAACTCTTAGTATTGTGGGTCGTGTTTCAATGAAATGATGGAACGTGAATCAAGTGAAAGTATCACGACGAAAAGCCAAGATAAAGAAGCAGAAACAAACAGCAAAACTAGAGCATCAGTGAAGCAATTAAGCAAACGCTCAATAGACGTCTTCGTCTAGCAAATAAGTAATGCGCCTGGGAATATCGACAGCGAACAGAGTTAAATTCGACTTAGTTAAATTCAACGTTTGAATCAAATGCCGTATTTAACTATTTTAGTTGACTAAAATAGGAGTTAAGTCCGGCACATGTGAAATTCAACGTTTGAACTGGGCCTAAAGTAGAGCGCCTGGGAACATTGACAGCGAACAGAGTTAAATGCGACAGAGTTAAATTCGACGTTTGAATCAAATGCCGTGTAGAGTTTAATATGCGAATCTAAACAACAGATTAAACCGGATTACACCGCGGGTCTTAACTCTCCGACTCCAAACTCTCTTCTTCTCGTTCCTATCCCATAATAGTCTTTCATATATCCCGGCATACACTATAAGGTGTCTTTCTGAACTGGCAAATGTGTTTCTAACGCGAGCCTCATCAAGTGGTCGGTAAACTAATTAAAATGTTAAATAAATGTTCAACAAAGTCTCCCTCTTTCACCGAACAGAGTTCGTACACTTCGTAATCTTTTAAGTACTCCGGTGGCCTCCTTTCCCTTACTGGTCTCCTTTGGGGTTCTGTTCTCCTTCCAGTGTCATCTTCTTCGGAAGAGTCATCTTCAGCGACTTGTTCGTCTGCAGTTGTATCCTCTCTCAAGTATTTCTTAACATCGGCCACGTTTCTACTCATGTTTACTCCTTCGGGTGACGATATGATGACCTCGTTACCGTGCTTCTTGCTGATGGTATATGGAAGTGGGTCATAAGTAGTCGAGAGTTTGTTCTCTTTCATTTGTTTTGAGAGTACTAAATCACCAGGTTCTAGTTCGCTCTCTCGAGCTCGGCCTTTTCCCATCACCATAGTCGGCTCTCTCCTGCTTCATCTCTGCATCCTTGTTTCTCGCCTCACTGTCAGAGCACTTCGAGTTTCCCAGTTCAGGAATCTTTGATCTGATTTCCCTGTTGAACAGGAGTTTGGCCGGTGTGACGCCTGTGCTGGTGTGAGGTTTAGTTCTATAGGCTGTTAAGAACTTTCGCATCTCGGTCCAGATATTCTTTTTTCAGCTTTAGCAATCTTAAGGGCTTTAAGCAAGCTTCTGTTCTGTCTTTCAGCCTCCCCATTTGCCTGAGGCCATAGGGGGGTCGAGGTGCGGTGCTCTATATCATTTGTTTCCAGGAAACGTTGAAATTCATCGGACACAAACTGTGAACCGTTGTCAGTTTTCAACGACTTTGGTAACCCATGGGTACAGAAAATCTTATCCAAACTCTCAATTACTTTAGTGGATGTCATGGACGTCAGAATGTCCACTTCGAAATATCGGCTGTAATAATCAACCACGACCAGTACATATTCCTCAGACGGTAGGGGTCCCATTTAGTCTGCGGCTAGGTCAATCCAGGGTTGACTTTGAAACTCTGTATGCCGTAAGGGCTCTGGTGGTGTAGGCAGTCCAACAAGTTGTCAGCCATGGCAGGTCTTACACCGGTTTTCCACTTGTTTATCAATTCCAGCCCACCAAACCTTTGCACGAATTCTCTGTTTGGTTTTTACCAGCCCCTGATGACCCTCATGTGCTAAGTCTAGTACTCTTTCACGTAGTCTTCGTGGAATTAGCAACCTCGTTCCCCTTAATACTAACTTTCCAAGGGAAGAGAGTTCATTTCTGACCTGTTTTTCTGCGGCGTGGCTTTGTCCCAGTCTCCTGTTGAGATGCACTCTTGTAGTTGTCAAATTTCTGGGTCGGTAGCTGATTCTCTCTCAATTTCTTTGATGGATATTGCTACTGGTGCTGATGTCTCTGCCACAAAGCGAATAAATTCCTCAGCATCAGCATGACCACTCAACTCTTCCTTATCAACAAGTCGTGAAAGAGAGTCAGCAATATTCTGTTTACCTGGTACGTACCGTACCCGAAACCGGTATGGCTGAAGACGAAGTACCCAACGCTCTATCCGAATAGGGCGTAATTTAACACAGATTCTTACCCACAAAAGACTGCGATCGCCGATGGCCACTGATACAACCCCCTCCACTGATGAATCCCTAAAAAATATAAGCAATCCACACATTCAAGTTCCATCTGATACTACCTGTACAATCTGTGGCCGATCATTCCAAACAAACAAAAATCTCAAAATTCATTTCTCTCACAAACATAAAAAGCAGAAACCATTGCAATTTATTCGTCCCGGATTCTGGCCCTGTAGGGCTGACATAAGATGCAACTGTTGCCAAACATACGGGAAATTTACAGGGACAGTTAAAAGCAGCACTACAAGAGAAACGATAACACTGCGACAACACGCGTCATGCAAGACTAGCAATGTCATAAACCTGATAGAATGTAGTAAATGTAACGAACAGTACGTAGGCGAGACAGGTCACCCAATTCACCATCGTGGCAATCAACACCGTAGCGACATCAGAGGTGGACATAAGAACATACCTTCTGTCAGACATTTTAAGAACTGTGGAGTCGATAATTTTAAACTTGCGGTTATTGATAAAGTTAGAAGTCAAAATCAAGAAATCAGAAAAGCAAGGGAAAATTATTGGATTTTAAGACTCAATCCTACTATCAATAAGCTTACTACATGAATTATAACTATTTTAATTTATCTACTTTAGTCACTATAACACGTTTCGCTGTTATCTATTATATTTTTATACTATATTATTACGTCATGACATGTTTACCGTTGACACGAATTTTAAATTTGAATATTGCTCATGTAATTAGTATGCTCCTCAGGAAGACCGCGACCAAACAAAAGCTACATTGCAGTTGGCCTCTTGACCATCACATTTTTGCTTATATATATATATATATATATTAATCACAAAAGAGGCCTATTGGAATGCTCAGTTGTTCTCTCTGGCACCCCATGGTTTGAATAAAAGAAAGGAATTTCATTCGAAAAATAGAATTTGCTATAATTAATTTTCCATCTTATATCAGGCGCTACTAATTGATCGTTCAAAGGCCCTTTTCTTGGATTTTGTA